TTATTATGGACTGGAGTTGCGCCCTAGTGATTTGATGGTGAAGGAGTTTGATGGGTCTCGAAGGTCAGTGTTTGGGGAGGTGGAGTTAACAATCAAGGTCGGTCCTTTCACCTTCACGGCTACATTTTTTGTGATGGATATACAGCCAGCATATTATTGTTTGTTGGGGCGGCCGTGGATTCATAGAGCAGGGGAAATCACTTCTACTCTTCATCAGAAACTCAAGTATCCTGCAGAAGGAAAGGTGATAACTGTGTGCGGCGAGGAAGAGTACATCGTGAGTCATTTGACATCATTCCTCTATGTTGAAGTTGAAGGCGAGATACATGAGACTCCGTTTCAGGCGTTTGAGATTGAGGTATATGTGGACGATATGATTGCTAAGTCTGATACAGAAGAGGAACATCTTGTTCATCTGGGAAAATTGTTCGAGAGACTGAGGCAGTTCTTGCTGAGGTTGAATCCGAATAAGTGTACCTTCGGGGTGAGATCCGGCAAACTGTTGGGTTTTATTGAAAGTGAAAAAGGTATCCAGGTGGACCTGGCCAAGGTGAAAGCGATACAAGAAATGCATGAACCAAGGACAGAGAAGGAAGTACGTGGTTTCTTGGGAAGGTTAAACTACATTTCTAGATTTATTTCTCATCTCACAGCCACCTGTGAACCTTTGTTCAAGTTATTGAAGAAAAGTCAGACAGTGAAATGAAATGAGGATTGTAAAAAGGCCTTTGACAAAATAAAGGAGTATTTGCAGGAACCTCTGATACTCATGCCGCCAGTGGAAGGAAGGCCACTAATCATGTATCTAACTGTGTTGGAGAGCTCAATGGGTTGCGTCCTCGGTCATCACGACGAGATAGGGAAGAAAGAGCAGGCTATTTACTACTTGAGTAAGAAGTTTACAGAATACGAGTCGAGGTACTCATTGCTGGAAAAGACTTGTTGTACGCTTTCCTGGGCTTCCAAACGTTTAAGGCAATACATGTTAACTTACACCACCTACTTGATATCTAAAATGGATCCAATCAAGTACATTTTTGAGAAGCCAACTCTTACAGGCAGGGTAGCCTGTTGGCAGATGATACTCACCGAATATGATATCCAATACACTACTCAAAAAGCAATTAAGGGTAGTGTATTGGCCGACCATCTTGCTCATCAGCCCATGAACGATTATCAACCGATGAAGTTTGATTTTCCAGATGAGGAAATTGTGTATATTCGGGATTGTAATATTCCAGACCCAGACGAAGGACTTGAGTTGGGATCACGTTGGACGCTTGTTTTTGATGGTGCCTCTAATGCCATGGGCAACGGTGTCAGAGCTATTATCACTTCCCCTGAGGGATACCACATTCCTTTCACGGCTCGTATTTATTTCGATTGCACTAACAACATGGCCGAATATGAGGCTTGCATTTATGGCATTGAAGTTGGAATCGACCTGCGCATCATATTTTTGAAAGTTTACGGGGATTCCAATCTTGTTATCATCCAGATTAATGGAGATTGGGAGACTCGCCATCAGAACCTAATTCCCTATCTTGAGCATGTTATGAAGCTGATTCTGTATTTCGAAGAGATCATGTTTGAACATATTCCCAGAGAAGAGAATAATCTAGCTAATGCACTGGAAACTTTGTCCTCCATGTTCAAGGTTAAGTGGGCTAATGAGGCACCTTCCATTACCATCAGAAGTTTGACTGAGCCAACTTTATGTTTTGGGGCTAGTTTGGCATCAGATGGTAATCCTTGGTTTTATGATGTTAAACGATACCTCAAAACACAAGAGTACCCTGAAGAGGCATCCGCCATAAATAAGAAGTTCTTGAGAAGATTTCAGCCAAGTTCTTTCTTAATGGTGGTGTGTTGTATAGAAGGTATCATGACGGTTTACTGCTCAGATGTGTTGACAAGAAAGAAGCAGCTAGAATCATTGAGGAGATACATGAAGGTGATTTCGGGACCCATTCCAGTGGGCATACCATGGCTAAAAAGATTTTGCGAGCAGGTTATTAATGGTCCACTATGGAGACTGACTGTTACAATCATGCACGAGTTTGCCACAAATGTCAAGTCTATGCTGATAAGGTGCATGTGCCACCAGTACCTTTGAATGTCTTGACTTCCCCTTGGCCGTTTGCAATGTGGGGAATTGATATGATTGGAAAAATTGAACCGACTGCATCCAACGGGCACCGTTTCATTCTGGTTGCCATCGATTATTTTACAAAATGGGTCGAAGCTGCATCCTATGCCAATGTCACCAAGCAGGTGGTAACTCGGTTCATTAAGCACAATATCATTTGTCGCTACGGAGTGCCTGAAAAAATCATTACTGATAATGGGTATAATTTGAACAACAAAATGATGAAGGAGCTTTGTGAGTCCTTCAAAATCAAGCATCATAACTCTTCCCCATGCCGACCAAAGATGAACGGTGTTGTCGAAGCGGCCAATAAGAATATTAAAAAGATCGTATAAAAGATGGTGGTAACCTATAAAGGTTGGCATGAGATGCTGCCTTTCGCTTTGCATGGTTATCGCACCACTGTGCGTACTTCGACCGGGGCAACCCCATTTTCATTGGTTTACAGCATGGAAGCAGTATTACCGGTCGAAGTCGAGATTCCTTCCCTTAGGATCATGAGGGATGTTGAGCTGGATGTAAGTGAATGGGTACAAAATCGGCTGGATCAGTTGGAACTTATTGATGAGAAGAGGTTGACGGCTGTATGTCATGGTCAGGTATATCAACAAAGGATGAGGAAAGCTTTTGATAAGAGGGTACGACCTCAGTGTTACAAGCCAGGTGACCTTGTGCTAAAAAGGATAATTCTCCCCCAGGGAGATCCCAGAGGCAAGTGGGCTCCGACTTATGAAGGTCCTTTCATGGTAAGAAAAATTTTCTCGGGAGTGTAGCGGTGAAAATCGGAGATCAAGCTATTAATTAACTTGACTCGCAAAAGCAAGAGTCGCCACCGCGCTTTATTATTTCCAAGGGAAAAGGGAAAAGAGCGAAATAAAACCCTAAAATATGCAATGTAAAATAATACTTAAAAGTAATGAAAATACAATGCGTTTTCGAAAAGAGGTCTAGAGTTCAGGGGTTGGTTATACAATGGGAAGGTATTAGCACCCAATGTATCTATAGTATTCTATAGGAACCTTTTGAAATATCTGTTTTTTTAAAATTGTTTGTTTGATTAAAATTGTTTGTTTGGCTAAAGATGGGTGCGGATGAGATTTTGAAGAGACAGCGACCTAATGTCGAAGTTTTGACTTAAAAGGTGTGAGTTTAAAAATTGAATCTTTTGGGAAAATTATCTTAGGTTTAACAAAATAGTAAACAAACAAAAGATGAATGAGGGTATTCGCACGATTGGATGAGATGTGTTTGATAACATGAAGTCAACAAAGTTAAAACATTTCCCTTGGATTAAATCGAGCGAGCAAAATAAAATAGACATCAAAATATAAGCAATCAAAATTCACAAGAAAATAAATATAACGAAACAGATTAATGACCTAAAGGCATCGAGAAATTAAAATGACAAAGATATTTAAATAAAATAAAAGAGAATGTAACTAATTATCTAAAGAAGTTATTTAAACTAAATTAAAAATTTAAGATTACTTACTAAAAAAAATTCTAAACTAACTACAAATTCTAAGGTTGCAAAAATAGTTCTAAAATTACTAAATTAGATCTAAGCTAAATTAAAAATTTTAAAATTAGTAAATTAAATCTAAACTAAATAAAAATTCCAAGGTTGCTAATCTAAAACAAAAAAAAGTTCCAAAGTTACTAAACTAAATCTAAATCAAATAAAATTCTAAAAGAATATTAAACTAATTCTAAACAACTAAAATTCTAAACTTATTAAACTAATTCTAAATCAAATAAAAATTATAAACTCATTAAACTAATTCTAAATCAAATAAAGTTCTAAAGTCCCTAAACTAAAACTAACAACTAAAATTCTAAAGTTAACTTAAATAAAATCAAATAAAATTCTAAAGTTTACTAAATTAAAACTAAAACAAATAAAACTCTAAAATTTACTAAGTCAAATCTAAATGAAATAAAATCCTAAAGTTACTAAAATAAAACTAAAACAAAATAAAATTCTAAAGTTTACTAAGTCAAATCTAAATGAAATAAAATCCTAAAGTTACTAAAATAAAACTAAAACAAAATAAAATTCTAAAGTTTACTAAGTCAAATCTAAATGAAATAAAATCCTAAAGTTACTAAAATAAAACTAAAACAAAATAAAATTCTAAAGTTTACTAAGTCAAATCTAAATGAAATAAAATTCTAAAGTTACTAAAATAAAACTAAAACAAAATAAAATTCTAAAGTTTACTAAGTCAAATCTAAATGAAATAAAATCCTAAAGTTACTAAAATAAAACTAAAACAAAATAAAATTCTAAAGTTTACTAAATTAAAACTAAAACAAATAAAATTCTAAAATTTACTAAGTCAAATCTAAATGAAATAAAATCCTAATGTTACTAAAATAAAACTAAAACAAAATAAAATTCTAAAGTTTACTAAACTAAAGCTAAAACAAAAAAGTTATAAAATAAATCTAAATTAATACTAAACTAAATTAGTTATATATATATATATATATATATATATATATATATATATATATATATATATATATATATATATATATATATATATATATATATATATATATATATATATATATATATATATATATATATATATATATATATATATATATATATATTTTATATAAGGTTAAAGAGTTAACAAAAACAAAATAAAAATGTCCCAGTAGGAATTGAACTCATATTTCTTTAATCACAACTAAACTAACTTTGCAATTGGACTAATACTACTTAAATATCATATGCACATTTTAACTACCCTAAAAATGGAAAAGGTTTAAACAAAATTGGGCTAAAAGGCCCATGGATTTGACCCGCTTTTGAAAGGATAAAGAAAGGGTTTTGAAAACCCTAAACATGAGGAAGGGCGCCGCTGCTGGTGGCTGTGTCTTGGAAAAGAAAAAAAAATCATATTAATTAATATTATTATTAACAACAACTCTATTCCCCTTTCTATCGTGAAAACCAAAATTAAACTCTCTCTCACATCACCTTCAATCAAGTATCCTCTAAAGAACCAGTAGAAGAAAAATCGATGCCTCTTGTCAAACTCCTTCTTTATAGTCTCCGCAACATCTTTCTCTACGTTGTGCCTCTCAAAAGAGAGAACGGTGATATCGAAGGCCTTTTTTTGCATGTTCGGTGATGTGTCGGCGCTTTTGACGATGACTTCCTTGGTCGCCGGTGGTACCGGAGAAGCCGATGCAGAGAGTGGTGAAGGAACAAATGGCTTTCGATCTTCGAGGTGAGGTTTCGCCATTAGAGATGCTGCTCCAGCTATGATGTGCTTCTTTGAGTCTTCGCTCATGATTGTTTCCCTAATTCGGAGATATGTGTGTGTGAGAGAGAGAGAGAGAGAGAGGTGTAGAGAAAAGGAGAGCGAGAATTTGGTTCTTTTCTGGTATTGCAGAAAGATTTCGGAACAGAGGTTTTGTGTGAGTTTTCTTCTCTTATTTTCTATGATGTTTTCCAACCGATTCTCAATTTTTATCTCAAAATTCCTACTCTATTTTCTATCATTTGAAAACAGCAAAGATGAGTTTCATTTTTTTCAGGTTCACTCGGTTTAACATCATCACAGTTTCACAATTTAATAGTTACTCAGTTCTACGATTTTTGAATACTGAATAATAACAACAAAATAGAGTTCACAACAACAATCAACAGATTCACAACAATTGCCTAATTATCAGCTCTGAGAATCAAGCATGGAAGTATATAAAAAAATTGGTGGAGGAAAATACCTGTCGGAGTCTTTTCGACAGAGCTTCGAACGAGGTAAGTATAAGAAATCCCTTATTCTTCCGATAATCTCTCAAAAAAAACTAGTATCGGTGTTGAAAATTTCAATTGCAGGTTTGTTGTTATTTGCTTCTGTAATGATGAACAAAGTTAAAGTTTGGAGGAAGATTGTTGCTAAATTTTTGGAGAGTTTTGTTATTGAATTTTTTCTCCTTTTTTTTTTTGGGGTCTCTCCTCCTCCTTTTATCCCTGTCTTGGAACTGTTTTATACCTGAAAAACCATATGAAATTTAGGAGGGAAATTCGATAGGTTGAAAATTATTTGCGGTTCACTTCTTCTTGCTTTCTTGATGCAGGTTGGTGGTTTTCTATTCTTGTGCAAAATAGCAGGACTAGTTTGACAACTGCAACATAGGCTAATTTTGGACAGAATTTATACAGTTTTGGGACTGTAAGGCAGAGTTTGTAGCAGCTGGTTCTGGACAGCAGACAAAAGACAGTTTTGGGGCATTATTTTTGGACTGATGTGCAGGGTTTGGAGCAGCATACAACAACAATTTTTTTGGCATTATTTGGCAGCAAGATAGTAGCATAGAAACAGGATTATTTTGGTGGTTTAGCATAAAGATTTCATGTAATTTTGGCACTTTAGGACTTAGGAATTCATGTGTTTGTGTATGGTTTTATAATGAGATATGAAATGGTGATGGTTTTGTAATGGAAGTATTTTGTAATCTCTTGGATTCACATGAATGAAAGTATGACTCTTGAATGAAATTCTTGAATAAATTCTACACCAAATGATCTTGCTCTCTTAATTTAATCTCTAGTCCGAATTGACACACAATTTGATTCCAATTAAAATTTATGTCGAAATTTGTCTTTGAATTTGAAATGCATGAATGATGAATGAAATTGAATTCTTGAGAAAGGTCTTGAATAATTCTTAATATTTTGAACAATTCACATTAGTGAACTTGCACTCTTGGAATAAACTTCGGGAAATTGGAATGCATCTTACTCAAGACATCAAATTCATAAACCTTCTTGAGTCTCTCTTGCAAATAAGAACCCCAATGTTATTTGACAAAATCAGATATTTTGGCTTTATGGTATTGGTTACTTGAAAGAAAACTTCATAACAATGAATTCAATCTTGTTTCAGATCTCAAATCCAAGTTAACTTGCAAACCACAAGAATTCGAAGAATTCTCAACCCTAACTCGCGTCTTCACCTCATAGTAATTTGCAATACAGACCAATAGCGCAAATCGTGCCTTTAAGAAATTTAATAGACAATCCACCTTAATCTAATGATCGCTACAGTTCAACTGCAAAATGACTTGAAGTAGCCACAAGCAATCAAAGAATCATTGGACTAAAACTCCAGTTTCATGAATTATCCCAACAGAAAAAAATCAAACGTTCTTGAGAAAATGTCTGTGGCATGACTTGAACCTTAATCTTTGAAGTAATCTCATAAACAACGCTATTTGTGATACTTTGCAAAAGAATCGCCTCAAGACGTTGAAAATTGAAGAAGTTATGACCGTTTGAAATTGAACTTGCAAGAGTTGAATTTTGGTCTAAATGCTTTGAATCGACTTGCAAACTTGATCTTTCTACGCATTCTAAAGCATCTTGATGCACATGTAAACCAGTGATGATGAAATCTTGACTGTGCTTTGTGGAATTTTGGAAGAAGCTTGAGACCACTTATCAAACAAGGCGTGGAAATAAACACACGATCTTCTGAAGATCCTCGAGACAAAAGCTATCATACTTGAAACAACTGTGATCAAAATAAGCCTGAATAAAGCTTTAGAAGTCGTGTCTTGATGAATCAGTCATCGAGAATCAATAATCAATTGTACTCCTGACTTAAAGAACTCAAAACCCTAATTGAAACGCAACGCCTGATGTCCTTGATTTAGACCTGTCTCTGCACATGATATCAAAGAAACAAAAAACACACACTTCATGCTTGATTAGAAGTTAGTGATACATAGGCTAAGAAAGTTCAAAATACTTGACAATTTCTGCATAGACAATGCTCGAAGGTGAGAGGTTAAAACCGACCATATTTAGTGACCTTGACTTCTGTACAAAAATGCAAAAATAAATATGGGATCTTAGGTCAAAAATTGGGGTATGACAGGGAGGAGCGATGATGCTCACGACTATGGATGGAGAGTTCTTCCCTCTCCATGTGAATGCTGACGTAGTTAAAAAATACTTTGCATAAAAAATAAAAAATAAAAAAATAAAAAACCCGCTAAACTGAAAACCCGAAAGGGCGGTTTAGGCAAAAAGAGGGTGTCCTGGTGAATCGAAAACCCGAAAGGGCGATTCAGGAAAAAGTTAGGGACTTAAGGCAAATGGCTACGCTCAACATGAGATCTTTTATTTCTTTCCTTCATTCCGTCACCTGGCATAAGCTCGAAGCTAATCCAAGAATGATCTGGCTGAAAGCAGGAAGATGAAAGCGTAAGAGTCATAAGAGTCATAGCAGAGTCGGGACCTGATGGATATTCACATTCACATTGCCATTTGTAAACACTTGTTTGATTTGATTTTGTAATTACTTACTTCCAAATGTAAATGCTTTTTTTCACAAGCTGATTTCTCAAAATCAATAGAATATCTTCTTTCAAGTATACATATACGTTTCTTTTCTCCCTTTTTACTGTTTTATTTGCAAAAACGTCTAAAATTTTGACAAGCATGTGCATATAAACTTCGTGGGCCTTACACGGAAATGGTAATCTAAGTCATGTTTAGTTGGTCGCTTGAAATACGGATAACAAACACAACTACTACTGTGCAAGGGGCATGTTTGGTTCTCTGATTGATAGGATTCTCATTCACTTTACTGGCGGATGCCTTGCCATTTGTTTCACAGCTCCGTGTTGTTGGTAAAGGTCATGGGTCAGGGTAATATCAAGATTACGGCAGGTCGGCGAGATCGGCGAACCTAGTTGGAAATATTTCTTCCCCATAATGGCTTTTATTACGTTTCTTTTCCGCACTTTCATGTGTTATCTTGATTGATTATTTTAGCATTGTCTGCATATAGGATTTTGTTTAAGGCTGAATGTCAGTCTTGATGCGTTGAATATTTTTGCCTTGAAGAAATTATTTCATTTTACTTAATCCATCCTGTATCACTCTTTAATCAATTTTTCGGGTATTTTTATACCAATTGTGCCAATTCTTATGCTTAGCCAAGAGTTTGGAAGAAGGTGTTTAGCTAAAAACGATGACTGTAGTGGTATGCTTTTGAGTAGAACCCCATTGACGATGTACAATCATTGTTTCAATCCCCAAACACAGGAGATATAAGGGAGTTAGACCCTCGTTAACCCCTCTAAGCCTTCAAAGTAGGAGTTTATTTTCCGTTTAAAAAAACCTTATTTTTTAACCAGGGGCAGGGTAGATGTTCAGTTAATTTGACCAAGCATTCAAATTTCAGAAGGAATGTCCCATCTGAGGATCACCACATTTTATCTTTTGCATCATGAGATTAGGAAAAATGTCTAAACCACGATGTTCATTTTCTCACAAAGTCCTGAGGTCGAGATCGAATCGATACAATAATGGCTATCCCTCGTCGACCAAGGAATGAGACATTTTGTTTTCTTAAAAAAAAAGAGAAAAAAAAAAGAGAAAGAGTTCAAAGACCTAAAGTCATATTGACTTATGAATAAGAAAGAAACAAAAAGCCCCGCTAAGTCGAAACTTGAAAACAAGTCGCTTAGGCAAAAGTTAGGGCGTCCCGCTGGACTCCCAAAATTGAAATTCAAAAGATTTTGTCTAGGCAAAAGTTAGGGAAAATAAGAGCCTAAAAGGCCGAAAAATATTATCCAATAAAATTTTCATCAAAAGAAGAGGAACAATAATATCAAAAACCAAAGCAGCAAAGTTAAGTGACAATCATGTTGGAGAATTTATCGTGATCACTCAACCATTATAAATCCTTTTGAAAGATGAATGCTTGTGATAAGTCAGCTGAACTTAGGGCAGGAGAATATCATGAAGGGGGTGGGCACCAAATAACTTAAGCCTTGAAAAACTTTTTTCTAAAAAACCCTCGAACCAGGCCACGTTACAACCTTTAAAAGTCCTAACTGAAACAAGGGTTTAACTCGAAAGCATACTACAACAGGATAGCGTTTCCTAAACTCTCAAATATGTGTTGCAAATCCATGTTGGTATCTTATCACCCGTATCTTGACTCATTTTTGTTGAAAAAAGAGATGGAAGAAAAGTTTTGAAATTCTTGCACTCTAGCTAGTGAATCATTCACAACAGAGATGCGACACTTTGTTAAGGTTTTCAACTTCAAGGCTTAAATAATCGTCACATCAGATCTGTCATTCCCAAAATAAACATCTTTCTGCATGCAAAAAATTTGCTTGACATAAAAAAAGAGTTTACACGTTGAACACCTGTAAAGAGCTTAATGATCGTCAGGATGGGAATATTCGGCTTTCTTTTATTAGACAGAGCCCATGTATTGAATAGGACTTTACCTATTCCCGGTGAATTTTCGTTCCCGCAGCGAAG